CCCCCCATGGCTGTTTCCCAACAAGGGGCAGGTGGAGAGAAAGAGAGTACCCCCCGCCCTCAAGATGCCCTCCAGAGTGGTATCCATGATGGATGTGGCTTTCTCTGTACCATCAGCATCCTCCACTTCCCTGTCTCACTGTGGGGGGGCAGGCAAGGGGTGGTCTTGGGGACAAGCCGGATGTAACCTTCCACCTTTACTCTCCAGTTTTGCAAAGGGCACCCCCAGGAAAAAAGAAGTAAGGGAGAAATGTGTCCGGGGGTGTGACTGTGTGTGTGGGACGATTTTCCTATTTCTTTAGGCCTCGCTAACTTTCCGCCTTGCACTTGATCACCGCTGTGCCTTCATCTGTTCCACGTGCAAGGCTGCATCCACACAGCACTTTGACACTCAGATCAAGAGATCTGGGTAGAGATTTTTTTGGGGGGGAGGAGAGGGGTGTTTCTTTGGGCAGACGGACCAGTTGTGTGAATCCATCTTGCTGGGTTTCCTTTGTGATTGAACGCGTTGTGCTAACCCCTCCCCGCCAGCAGGTTAGATCAGTAATGAAACATGTTGCGCAGAACAGAACTCCTGTCTCTAATAGGAACTTGTAAAGATATTCCTTTATTTATTTGCATTTATTTTTTATCCCGTCGTTATTTTTGTAATAATTCGAACATACCTTATACTCCCTACCCCTTTTCCCCTGCAGCCATGACCCTGTGAGGTGGGTTGGGCTGAGAGAGAATCACTGGCCCAGAGTCACCCAGTTGGTGTTCATCCCTAAAGCAAGACTAGAATTCACAATCTCCTGGTTTCTAGTCTGGCGCCTTATATAGATTGTGAGTTCTAGTGCTGCCTGAGGCATGAAAAAGCTGGCTGGGTGATTTTTGGCCAGAGACTGTGAGTTCTAGTGCCGCCTGATGCATGAAAACCAGCCAGGTGACTTTTGGTGAATACTAGGAGACTGTGAGTTCTAGTCCTGCCTTAGGCATAAACATCTAACAAATTCTGGCTGGGGAATTCTGGGAGCTGAATCCACACATCTTAAAGTTGTCAAGGTTGAGAAAGTCTGCTCCAGGGCAAGTTTCTAGTCTGCTGTGCCCAGAAGTAGCTCAGTTCTGAGATCACCTCTGCCATCACTGAATATAAAGAACCATTCCGCACAGCTGGAAAACCAGGTGCTCAGTTTAAGGAGTTCCCATCACACTTTCTTCCTGACCTGCTAGTTTTCTTTGCAAAACAAGTTTCAAAACATGATGCTGTTATCTGTAAGGGGGAACATTAAACAACCGAGCTGTGGAATTCTGGGAGTTGAAGTCCACCCATCTTAAAGATGCCAAAGTGGAGAAACAGGAGTGTAGACGGCGGCATTTCGATCACATCAGTACAGGTACAGTCCTCGACTTACAACAGTTCGTTTAGTGACCGTTCAGAGTTACAACGGCACTGAAAAAAAGTGACTGATGACCGCTTTTCAGAGTTACGACCCTTGCAGCATCCTCATGATCATGTGATTAAGATTCAGAGGCTTGACAACTGGCTCATATTTATGACCGTGGCTTTGTCCTGAAGTCACGTGATCCCGTTTGGCGACCTTCTGACAAGCAAAGCCAATGGGGGAAGCCAGATTCACTTAACCATCGGGATAGTAACCTATCAACTGCAGTGATTCGCTTAACAACTGTGGCAAAACTCACTTAACAAATGTCTCACTTGACGGCAGATCTTTTGGATTCAATTGTGGTCGTAAGTTCAGGACTACCTGTAATAGCACTCCCTCTTCCCTACCAGCACCGAGGCTAGAAATAAAAAGGAACATAATCTCTAATAAACACTGCATTCCTTCCCCATTTGCCGTATGTTGCTGTACACCGAACTCCCTAAAGTTTTATGCCCACCCACATTTATTCTCTTTTATCCAGGCATCTAATACACTTTACGGTCCTGTAAACGAATTACCGAAACAATCAACACAGTAAAGGCACAGCTGGTGCTTCTTCACCCTCATAATTTTTATTTTTTTCTGGTTCCCAAATCCCTATAATAGGAAGGTCAAGGCACAGGAGCTTTTTGGAAAGCACAGTGATTAGCATCCAAGGAAAGAAATAGCCCAGAAGTAAATTGCAGGGGAAAAAAAGACTTTAAAAATTCAAAGTATGGGCAAATAATTCATAAGGCAGGGAAGAACGGAAAGTGCCAAGCTCTCCGTTATATTCATAATATTTCTATACAGCCGACTGGAAGTTTTTAAGAAGAGACTGGACAGCCATTTGTCTGAAATGGTATAGGGTTTCCTGCCTGAGCAGGGAGCTGGACTAGATGACCTCCTAGGTCCCTTCCAGCTCCGTTATTCTGTTAATCTGAATGAATGAAGACGTCAAATCCCTGCAGGTGACCTTCAGCCTGGCCTTGCACAACATTCAAAACTGCTAAAAGGAATCCACCAAACCCAGTTAAAAGCTAGCCAATTTCAAATGGACCTAGATCAGTGGTTCTCAACCTTTTTAATGCCGCGACCCCCAACCGGTTGTAAGTCGAGGACTAAACCGGTCGTAAGTCGAGGACTTTCCCTGCCCGGGAGCGCAGCGCATGCGTGGTTCCACCCCCTGCGCCGGCCGAGGCGTAGCTGGCAAGCGGCAGAGACGGAGCAGGCCGACCACCAGCTGGCCCAGCTCAAGGGAGGTAAGGCACCCGCCGGAAAAGGGGGAAAAAATGGCGGACAGCCTTGCTTGGCGACCCCCGTGAAATGGTCGATCGACCCCAAATGGGGTCGCGACCCATAGGTTGAGAACCGCTGACCTAGATGGTCTGAACCCAACTTTTTTCTATGCATTAATCTTCTTGCTTGCCTGGGAAGGCAGAGCAGGTGATGGTTTGACTTCCCCCCCATTTCATGCGCAGCAGTCATGCCGTATTTATTGCTTGGCAAGGAATCGTCTTTTGTTGAGCTTGATCCCAAGCCTGTGGGATTCGATAAAGAACGGTCACGGTCCTTCTTCTTTTCTTCTGTGGCTGCCCTTCAGAAGGTGATCCCGTTTTGGAGTGAAGAGGAGAGAGAAAAAGACAACTGGAGGGAGGCTGATCAAAGCGGGAGAGAAAGGTGCCAAACTTATTCTTAGAATGAGCCAGATCTCAAAAGGGGATATTGCCAAGGGCAAATGGTTATGGGTAGTCCTTGACTTACCACCGTAACGGAAGCTGCAAATTACGGTTGTAAGCAGTGGTGGGATTCAAATGTGTGAACAACCGGTTCTCTGCGGGGATGCCGCTTCCGGACGTCCGTTCTGGGCCTGGGCAACAAAGAAATTAGCTACCGGTTCTGCCAAAGTGAACTGGCTGAATCCCACCACTGGCTGTAAGTCATGACAGTCATGAGGCAGGTCATCACGTGACCGACCCAGTTTTATGAGCTGTCAAGTGAACCCGTCTTCCCCCATTGACTTTGCTTGTCAGAGGGTCGCAAAAGGGGATCACACGACCCCGGAGCACAGCGACCGTCATAACTACATGCCAAGCATCTGAATCTTGATCACGTGACCACGAGGATGCTGCAATGGTGTGAAAAATTCTCGTAAGTCATTTTTTTCCAGTGCTGTTGTTAAGTTCGACTACCTGTAATCTAGCCAAGACAAGGAACTCTTGCAGTGATTGGATGGCTTAAATGGGAGAGGAGGAAAAATTCAGCCCATGAGCTTCCACGGTGAAGGTAGACTTGACTATGGGCCTTCCCAGTGTTGAAGGAAGTGTCTTCATCATGGTTCAGTCCAAGCCGGGGATAAACAACATGGTGACTGCTTTAGAAAGAAGGTTGCAGTTTATTGAAGAGGAGAGCCAGACAGGAAGATGGCTCTGGAAGAAGAGAGAGAGAGAGAGCACGTGTAGGGAGTGGGTTTTTATATCCTCTGGAGCCTTTTGTTTGGAGTTGTTTCCTGTTCCTGTTTGAGGCTTTGTATTTCCTGTGTCGTGTATTCTGACCTGAGTCTGAGTGTGCCCTTTGGCATCTGTGAGTTAATTCTATTATGTCCTGTCTTAGATTTTGGGCGGGGTATGTAGATTTTAGGTGTCTTTGTCTTCTTAATCTTCTAGCTGGGGCTTCCAACCTTCCTGGATTATTTACTTCTGCATTTCTACAGAGCTGGTTTCTGTTTGGGGGAGGGAGACTTGGGGCTATTAAGAAAACTGGGCATGCTTTTCTGCCTCTTTAAGATCCTTTGACAAAATATATTTTTCTGCCCTTTTCATATTTCCTTCTCTGGGGGGGGGGCTGACTTCCCACAACAGTCTTCTCCAGTCTATAACCCCACATCTTTCTCACTGGCAGGCTGGCTGATAAGCTGATATGGAACATAATTGGAACTGTTTTGAAGGCAAGACTTGTAATTTATTTATTTTTACTATTTTACTATTAAGGGAAAGCCATCCAAATCCCAACACTATCTCACAAACGTGTGCACGCTGAGATATCCATCCAGAGCAGGGATGGGGAACGATGGCCCTTTTATGACTTGTGGACTTCAACTCCCAGAATTCCTGAATCTGGAAGGGACCTTGGAGGTCTTCTAGTCCAACCCCCTGCTCAAGCAGGAAACCCTGTACTATTTCAGACAAATGGCTGCCCAGTCTTTTCTTAAAAACTTCCAGTGATGGAGCACCCACAACTTCTTGAGGAATTCGTTCTACTGATTTAACAATTCTTACTGTCAGGAAGTTTCTCCTTAGTTCTAGGCTGCTTCTCTCCTTGATTGGTTTCCATCCATTGATTCTTGTTTTGCCTTCAGGGGCTTTGAAGAATAGGTTGACCTAGGTCAGAGGTCTTCAAACTTGGCCCTTTTATGACTTGTGGACTTCAACTCCCAGAATTCCTCAGCCAGGCAAGCTGGCTGAGGAATTCTGGGAGTTGAAGTCCACAGGTCATAAAGGGGCCATCGTTCCCCACCTTTGAGCTAGAGGCAAGCTGGGAGTTTCTAAGTGTACCGTCTTAATGACCTCTGCTTTCTTTTCTTGCACAGGTAAATGTTGAAGACACCATCGAAATGCTACCCAAGTCCCGGCGAGCGCTCACCATTCAGGAAATTGCAGCCCTCGCTCGATCTTCCTTGCACGGTAAGATGTAGAAAACGGCAGCCATATTCTCACAACCGTGTGAGTTTTAACTTTAGCAATAGCTTGGGGGGGGGCATTATTTAGGGCTGTGTGCAAGTCCAAGAAATGTGGGCTGAGCAAATCTGGCCGAGATTTGATGACTGAAGGGTAAGTGAAGTAGCCAATCCAAAGGATGTAGAACCCAATCTGGATTTGGTAAAAGAGGCTTCAGATTCGCCACAGTGCCTACGTGCAGATGAACTTCAGATTCGATCTGGATATTGATTTATTTTATTAGAAAAAGGGTACAGGTGTAGCTCCCGACTTACAGCCAGAATGGAACCCAAAATTTCTGTTGCAAAGCGAGACAGTGGCTAAGTGAATTTTGCCCCATTTTACGTGGCACGGTCGTTAAGCGAATCACTGCAGTTGATGAGTTACTAACCCGGTGGTTAAGTGAATCTGGCTTCCCCCCTTGACTTTGCTTGTCAGAAGGGGATCATGTGACCTCAGATCAAAGCCACGGTCATAAGTATGAGCCAGTTGCCAAGCCTCTGAATCTTAATCACATGATCATGAGGATGCTGCAAGGGTCGTAACTCTGAAAAGCGGTCATAAGTCACTTTTTTTCAATGCTGTTGTAACTCTGAACGGTCACTAAACAAACTGTTGTAAGTCGAGGACTGTACCTGTACTGATGTGATCAAAATGCCGCTGTCTACACTCCTGTTTCTCCACTTTGGCATCTTTAAAATGGGTGGACTTCAACTCCCAGAATTCCCCAGCTCAGTAGTTTAATGTTCCCCCTTACAGGTAGCGTCATGTTTTTAAACTTGTTTTGCAAAGAAAGCTAGCATGTCAGGAAGAAAGTGTGATAGGAACTCCTTAAACTGAGCAGCTAGTTTTCTAGCTGCGGGGAATGGTTCTTTATATTTAGTGATGACAGAGATGATCTCAGAATTAAGCTACTTCTGTGCACAGCAGACTAGAAACTTGCCCTGGGGGAGAGCTTCTCAACCTTGACAACTTTAAGATGTGTGGATTCAACTCCCAGAATTCCCCAGCAAAGACCAGGGGCAGGCAACTTTGGCTCTTTTATGACTCGTGGACTTCAACTCCCAGAATTCCTGAGCCAGCATGGGGGAACTATGGCCCCTTCATGACTCGTGGACTTCAACTCCCAGAATTCCTGAGCCAGCATGGGGGAACTATGGCCCCTTCATGACTTGTGGACTTCAACTCCCAGAATGCCTGAGCCAGCATGGGGGAACTATGGCCCCTTTATGACTTGTGGACTTCAACTCCCAGAATTCCTGAGCCAGCCTGGCTCAGCTTGGAAACCTCTCCCTTTCCCCTCAGCATGGCTGGTTCAGGAATTCTGGGAGTTGAAGTCCACGAGTCATAAAAGAGCCAAGGTTGCCTACCCCTGTGTTAGACGGTAACACAGTTGTGAAGTGAATCTGGCTCCCCCATTGACTTTGTCAGAAGGTTGCAGAAGGTGGATCACATGACCTGTCATAAATATGAGTCAGTTGCCAAGCATCTGAATTTTGATCACGTGACCCTGAGGATGTTGCAAGGGTCTTAAGTGTGAAAAATGATCATAAACTCATTTTTTTCAGTGCTGTTGTAACTTCGAACGGTCACTAAATGAACTGTCGTAAGTCGAGGACTAATTGCATTGGTTTATTTTATCACTGTGTAACGGAAAGGGTATTAATAGTCCAATCTGGCGTTAGGCTCTGTCTTGGCATATTAGGCTCCAATTAAGCATACTGAGGTTGTAATATCATTTTAAGACAATTTATTGGAAACATTTTAATAAAAAGGATTCACTCTCTGCAACAGAGAGAAAACCGAGAGCAAAGGGCTTGCATTTGCTTTTTGCACAACAAAGAAAGTTCAAAGAAAAAAATGGATTGGTAAAGAAGAATGCATAAGATATATAGCAATTTAACAAATTAACTTTTACAAATATAAATGAAATATAAACTGATCAGAGAAGATCAGAGGTAGATGTCGTAAGATAGATAAGCAGTATAGTATTTTTATAACGCATGAAATATGAAAACATTGGGACGGTGCATCTAAATGGAAAACCTGGATATTTAGATATATTGAGCAAATTATGACTGATAAGAAGTTTGAATATTAAGGGGAAATTAAGTTTAAATAAGAACTATGAGAATAGGATATACGGCGAACTAATAAGATGATTTTTAGAAAAATAACACAAGTTGATAAGAAAAAATGTCACACATGGACATTATTATTTGTACAAACATGAAAAAAATGTTTATATTTAACCATTTATGCACTGAAAATACTAAGAATATATTTGTTTAAAGTTGAAGAAGGAGGATATTATTGGGAGAAGGGAAGATCAAAGAAATACACTATTAATTAATATACTAATTATGGAATTACAAAAAAATAATTATTATTGACTAATTAACTACTATTGATTGTTTTTTCAAAATATATGAACCAAGACAACACGCTGTACACTAGGCACTAAGGATTGTTACTGTAAAAAAATCAATAAAACGTTTCTTAAAAAAAGAAAAGAAAAAAAAAGAACGTATCCTGCCCCATTACCTCAGGGAAATAAGCCATCCAATAATAGGTAAACATAAGAATTGGAAAGAACATAGGAAAAAAAAGAAATTAGCGTGGGAAGAAACCGCATGAGTCCCATAGACTCGTTGTAAAAAGACGCAGTTGCCTTCAGTTGAAACAGTTAGTGCATACAAAACAATGCAGGTAGTCCTCGACTTACGACAGTTCATTTAGTGACCGTTCGAAGTTACAACGGCACTGAAAAAAGGGACTTAGGACCGTTTTTCATACTTAAGGCGGCATCCCCATGGTCACATGATCAAAATTCAGATGCTTGGCAACTGGTCCATATTTATGACGGTTGCTGTGTCCCTGGGGTCATGTGATCCCCTTTTGCAACGTTCTGACAAGCCAAGTCAATGCATTTAACAATTGTGTTGCTAACTTAACGACTGCAATGACTCCCTTAACAACCGTGGCAAGAAAGGTCGTAAAATGGAGCCAAACTTACTTAACAAGTGTCTCACTTAACAACATACATTTTGGGCTCAATTGTGGTCGTAAGCCGAGCGCTACCTGTATAACGGGGCCCACATGGCTTGGCCCTCAGAAGGAGAGCTAATTTAGTGTTGTGACTGATGGACTGGAAAACAGGAAGTTTTATTGAGTTTTGCCTTAGGCACGAAGCCAGTTGGAAGACTTTGGGACAATCACTCCCTCTCTGAGCCTTAGAAAGAAGACCTCAAGGGCAAATGACTTCTGAAAATCTTGCTAAGAAAACTGAATGGATGTGTCCATAAAGCTGCCAAGAATGAAGGCTGGCTCAAATAGCAAAATGAAGAGGACACTCAAAAAGGGCACTGGAAAATATTCTGGAATAGAATAGAGTAGAGTAGAGTAGAGTAGAGTAGAGTAGAGTAGAGTAGAGTAGAGTAGAGTAGAGTAGAGTAGAGTAGAGTAGAATAGAATCTGGAAGGGAACTTGGAGGTCTTCTAGTCCAGCCCCCTGCTCAAGCAGGAGAACCTATACCAGTGATGGCGAACCTTTTAGAGACCGAGTGCCCAAACTGCGACCCAAAACCCACTTACCCATTGTTGGGTGCCGGGTAGGTGTGGCCCATTAGGTGGGTGTGGCCCATTGGGTGGGCGTGGCTGCGGTGGTAACAGCAGACTGGGTGGGACTAAAAAGTTCAATCAATCAATTCCAACTTTGCAAGATCTTTTTTTTCCCGCGAGAAGTTGAAATTGACTGATTGATTGAACCTTTTTTTTTTTTTTTGCACACGGCGGCGGAGGCCTAAAGCGAAAAGGTTTTATAAAACCCAGCTGAAGGCCTAGGACTGGGGCGACGGCGCACGTGCCCACAGAGAGGGCTCAGAGTGCCACCTCTGGCACCTGTGCCATAGGTTCGCCACCACTGACCTATACCATTTCAGACAAGTTACTGTCCAGTCTCTTCTTAAAAACCTCCAGTGATGGAGCGCCCACGATTTCTGGAGGCAAGCTGTTCCACTGGTTAATTGTCCTCACTGTCAGGAAGTTTCTCCTTAATTCCAGGTTGCTTCTCTCTTTGGTCAGTTTCCAACCATTGTTTCTTGTCCTGCCCTCTGGTGCTTTGAAGAATAATATGACCCCCTCTTCTTTGTGGCAGCCTCTCAAATACTGGAATACTGCTATCATTGTCTCCCCTATTTCTTCTTTTCTTTAGACTAGCCAAACCCAAGTCCTGCAGCCGTTCTTCGTTTGTTTTAATCTTCGGGCCTTTGATCATTTTAGTTGTTCTTCTTTGAACTTTTTCCAAAGTCTCAACATCTGTTTTGTACTATGATGACCAGAATTGGTTGCAGATTTGGAGAACATCATATTTGGCCTTAGAAACAGGGTGTGTGTGGGGGGTGGTGGCTCAAAAAATCCAGATAGTTTCCTGGTTAATGCCTTCATTTATAAAGCTTTTGAATTGTATTGTACCATTGTGTTTATTTGTAGCAATTTAAAGTTTTACATATGTATATGTATTTGTTTCAGCCTGCTATTGTTGCTTTGTTTCTCTTGCTGCAATCTTTTGAAGATCTCCCCATTGGTAGGTCAACCTGATCCATATGCCTCTAAAGCAGTATTTTTCAATTTTGGCAACCGGAAGATTTGTGGGCTTCTCCAGCAAACATGAATTCTGGGAGTTGAAGTTCACCTGTCTTCCAGTTGCCAAGATTGAAAAACAGTGCTCTTAAAACCTGTTTCTCCACAGCCTAATAAATTAAGTGGCTTTTCTCCTTTCCAGCAAATGCTGTCTGTCCACGTTGCAAATATGAAAACATTTAAAAATATGAATGCATGCAGAAACAAAGCATATTTTAATTAACAAAGGTCATGTCAGTTGCACGGAAGGGATGAAGGAAGGCCAAAACAAGCCACGAATCAGAGATTTAGCTCAGGGGTAGGCAACCTGGGCTCTTTTATGACTCGTGGACTTCAACTCCCAGAATTCCTGAGCCAGCACGGCTCAGCTTGGAAACCTCTCCCTTTCCCCTCAGCTTGGCTGGCTGAGGAATTCTGGGAGTTGAAGTCCACGAGTCAAAAAAGAGCCAAGGTTGCCTACCCCTGTTCTATACCATACCATCTCAGACAAGTGACTGTCTAGCCCAGGGGTGGGCAACCTTGGCTCTTTTATGACTCGTGGACTTCAACTCCCAGAATTCCTGAGCCAGCCACGCTGAGGGGAAAGGGAGAGGTTTCCAAGCTGAGCCATGCTAGCTCTGGAATTCTGGGAGTTGAAGTCCACGAGTCACAAAAGAGCCAAGGTTGCCTACCCCTGATTTAGCTCTTTTAGAAGAGCGGATGTTCCTAAGAACACGAAATAAGTTCAGCGTGTATCGAAATTTAAAGTTCCTTAATTCAGTTGTTGCCAGGATCCTTCACAGGTTGGGGAGAGTCCTGAAAGTGGAAAGAGGCACCGTCTCAGCGACCTGAGGGCATCTCCAGCTAACTCTGACTGTTCGGTTGCAGGTATTTCCCAGGTGGTGAAGGACCATGTGACCAAGCCCACCGCTATGGCGCAAGGCAGGGTGGCCCACCTGATCGAGTGGAAGGGATGGTGCAAACCCATCGATTCTCCTGCCACCCTGGAAAGCACTTTCAACTCCTATTCGGATCTCAGTGAAGGAGAGCAGGAGGCCAGGTTTGCTGCAGGTGGGACTGCGAGGGAGGGGAAAACAGGTGGGGACAGGAGCTCTCTCAGGCTAGATCAGTGTTTCTCAATTAAGATGTGTGGACTTCAACTCCCAGAATTCCACAGCCAGCAAGCGTGGACTTCAGTTCTCAGAATTCCACAGCCAACATGTGTGGACTTCAACTCCCAGAATTCCACAGCCAGCATGTGTGGACTTCAACTCCCAGAATTCCACACCAGCATGTATGGATTTCAATTCCCAGAATTCCACAGCCAGCATGTGTGTAGTTCAGTTCCCAGAATTCCACAGCCAGCATACGTGGACTTCAACTCCCAGAATTCCACAATCAGCATCTGTGGACTTCAACTCCCATAATTCCACAGCCAGCATGTGTGGGTTTCAGTCTCAGAATTCCACTGTCAGCATCTGTGGACTTCAGCTCTCAGAATTCCACAGCCAGCATGCGTGGACTTCAGCTCCCAGCATTCCACAGCTAGCATGCATGGACTTCAGCTCCCAGAATTCCGCACCAGTATCTGTGGACTTCAGCTCCCAGAATTCCACAGCCAGCATCTGTGGACTTCAGCTCCCAGAATTCCACAGCCAGCATGTGTGTAGTTCAGTTCCCAGAATTCCACAGCCAGCATGCGTGGACTTCAACTCCCAGAATTCCACAGCCAGCATGTGTGGACTTCAACTCCCAGAATTCCACACCAGCATGTATGGATTTCAATTCCCAGAATTCCACAGCCAGCATGTGTGTAGTTCAGTTCCCAGAATTCCACAGCCAACATGTGTGGACTTCAACTCCCAGAATTCCACAGTCAACATGCGTGGACTTGAGCTCCCAGAATTCCACAGCCAGCATGTGTGGGCTTCAGTCTCAGAATTCCACAGTCAGCATCTGTGGACTTCAGCTCCCAGAATTCCACAGCCAACATGCGTGGACTTCAGCTCCCAGAATTCCACAGCCAGCATGCGTGGACTTCAACTCCCAGCATTCCACACCAGCATGTATGGATTTCAATTCCCAGAATTCCACAGCCAGCATGTGTGTAGTTCAGTCTCAGAATTCCACAGTTAGCATCTGTGGACTTCAGCTCCCAGAATTCCACAGCCAACATGCGTGGACTTCAGATCCTAGAATTCCACAGCCAGTATCTGTGGACTTCAGTTCCCAGAATTCCACAGCCAGCATGTATGAATTTCAGTTCCCAGAATGCGACAGTCAGCATGTTAGTTGGGGGATTCTGGGAGTTGAAGTCCACTCATTTCCATGTTGTCACGGTTGAGAAACTCTGGTCTAGTCTATGCCAGAAATCTAATGCCAGATCTGAGTTGCACGAGCCAAGGTTGATACTATGTGGAAGCAAAGAAAGAGTCGTTTCTCTCTCTCTTTCTCTCTTTTCTCCCATCTCGCACTTTGTGTTGGTTTTGCACCAAATCTCGGCACCCATACTTTCCTGGGTTTGAGGAGAGGGGCTCCTCTTTCCTGGGTACTTAGTAAACAATATTTAGTCGCCGGTTTGTGGTGCATTTGGGGGAAAGACCCACCTCTACTAAACAGTTGCCGAGTAGTGGGAGGCAGATGGTGTGATTTACAGGCAACATGGGTTGTGCTCACCTTGGCATTCTTCCTCATGGTTAAGTTAACCGTTGCTTATTCGATTAAGCCCATTTTCTTTTATGCTCACGGGATACACGGATCTATTACTAAACTGGTGAATCGGCAGCTATTGAACTGCTGAGATCATGGAACCCTCTCAGCCTTCAGTGTCATGGTTCCGATTAGGGGAATACTTCAAAGAACCCCGAGGCATTGTTTATCTTAAAATCTCTTTATTAGTACAGCACCCTTCCGCGCGAACATGGGGGATGCCAAGATCTGAATTCCCCTCCCCTGAGCACATAGTATTCAAGCACAATTCCCTCCTCCAATTAGCCGTCATAAATCACGTTCTCCAATCAGTTCGAAGGGCAAAGTTTCCCTTCCGTTCTGTAGCCATCGGTTTCTTATCTTAACTAATCCCCACACACATTCTTTCTCCTCTCCTCCTAGCATCATCTAATTCAGGGGTAGTCAACCTTGGCTCTTTTATGACTCGTGGACTTCAACTCCCAGAATTCCTGAGCCAGCTTAGCTGGCTCAGGAATTCTGGGAGTTGAAGTCCACGAGTCATAAAAGAGCCAAGGTTGACTACCCTTGATCTAATTTAACTCACATAGCTTATACAGAGAGTGGCTGCCTCTTCATATTTTGTCAAAGCAAGGACATCCAATGTTAGCAGCGTTGACATTCAGATCTTCTGAAGAAGTTCAGGAGGCCATTTGATGACATCCCCAGAAGGGACACAGCCATTTTTAGGGGTCTTTTGGCGAGAGTTGGAAATGGACATGGCAACCTTTTACGGAGCAATTTGGCTGCAGTCGCCACCCTTAAAACCTTCCCTTCAGCCCCTCCAAATGGTATAAACCCATACTTCAGAAATACATCTGTTATGGTGCCTGCTTTTTGGGGGGGGTGTGTAACCTCACTGAGGCCCACATATGCTTTGTAAATTGTTCACAAAGTTGGCTGGTGCCGAGGGAATGAGCTGGAAACCAAACCGATGGAGAAATGAATTCCAGGCTGGTGTTTGGAGGTCAGCGTCATGATAGTTTAATTGGATTTTGTCTGGATATTTTATAAATGTTCCCCACTGCTCATTTGCTACCTTAATCAGATCCTAGTAGAAGTAAGTGTAGGGAGTGAGTTCATTAAGACTTAATGAGTTCATTAAGACTGATTCCTAGCTACGGCTTGTTTCTGAGTGGTTCCTGATGAATAACAGGGGAACTTGCTTGCAAATAGAAATAAATATGCATAGGAAAACCTTACATTAAAATCGAGGGAAATCACCGGCCCAGATGCTAGAGTTTCACACAAACAGACCTCTTTACTTCCATTCACACAACTCAGGGAAATTAACTTCTTACTGGAACCCAAAGTTTTCCATTTTAGCCTGGTTTGAAACCATGGTGCATGTAACTTCATTCACTTATATCAGGGTGGGGAACTACGGCTGTCTTGCCTCCAGCGTATAATTTGTGTACATAGCAAAAATAGAACAATGGTCCTTTAATGACCTGCGGACTTCAACTCCCAGAATTACTGAGAACAGCATGGGAATGCTGGGAACTGAAGTCCACAAGTCATAAAGGGGGCCATAGTTCTCCACCTCTGACTTGGGTGAATACTGGTTATGCTTGAGGACAAAGAGACTCATAGACCAGCATAAGATCTAAGGGGGGTACTAGATTAGAAACAGGTTGTTTGTACTATAATGTCATTGCGACGGATTGTATTTGTTTTGTTGTCGTAATGTGTGTTTTGCTTTTTCGGTAAATTCCCCAATAGATGGGCTATTCCAGGCCTCCACCTCACCATGGGGCCAGATAAAATTGCCTCTGCATAAGAAGTAGTCCTGCTATAAATACTTCAAAACCTCCTCCTGGAGGGGAGCAACAGAAACAGACGGTAAAGTGGGTGTGTGGGGTTTCTAACGATGCTTTGAGCTCTAAGCACATATAAGCGCTTACAAGCAGCATCCTGCATACCAGGGAGCGAGCTTCCTGTGATCTTCTTGGCTGTCCTTACCACTCTGTGTATGGACTTAACTTAACTTTTAAAGCGCTCCATGGCAATGGACCTAGGTATTTGCAAGACCGCCTCCTACCAAATATCTCCCTTCGACCAGTCCGCTCCCACAGAGAGGGCCTCCTTAGGGTACCGTCGGCCAGCCAATGCCGACTGGCGACCCCCAGGGGGAGAGCCTTCTCTGTGGCAGCTCCTGCCCTCTGGAATGACCTGCCCCCTGACCTACGTACAATTGCGGACCTGCGCCTCTTCCGCCGAGCCCTGAAAACTCATCTGTTCCATGCGGCCGGCCTGGCGTAGTTTTGATTGGGTTTTGTTAGGGGTTTTATATTTTAGAGCAGGCTTTTATGTA